AACGGGTAGTTCAAACCGACAACACAGGATTGGGATCAGTTTGATCCCAAAAAACTGGATTATCCTGATCCAACCAGAGGGGTGGGTTTCCAGGGCCCAGGAATTTCCAGGGCCCAGGAGTTTCCAGGGCCCATTTTTTGTGATCTCAGACAAGTCGGCCAGATTTTGTCCCTGGAGTTCAAAGCAATTCAGGATAGGATCAGCCTGATCTAGATTACGATTTTTCAAGATGACTAGATCCTGAATATCAGTGCTTTAATCCTACCGATCGCCATCTAGTGGACATGAAAAATAATACAAGGAAGACAAGAGACCACATTGCAGAGACATCTATAATGTTTAATTATATTTTTTTATTTGAAAGGTGATGACAGATGATGGACTTTTTTTTTGTTGAAGATATTTTTACTTTAATCTAAATTACATTTGTGATTGACAATCTTTGCTGTGATACTTTTATGAGCATAAACATTTATGTCATCAACATTTGGTTGAAAACAAAATAGGTCACCACAAACGTGAGCAAAAATGGAAAAAATAAAATGTATTTTCCATGAAGGCTAAAAATTGTGTATTATTTCAGTTAACAAACTTTGCCATCTTATTTAAATTGAAACATATTTTAAAATAAATTGTACAGTACATTTTGCTCTGGTAATCCACTGGAAATCCACCCCTTTGGTGGGATCAGGATAATGCTCGTTGGGGTTCCACTCTCAGATAGTTGAGGCATGCAAAACGCCTCTTCAGTACTCCATTCAAGCGCTCAATGGCACACCTTGTTCTTCCATGGCCGTCGTTGTAGCGCATCTGTGAGGGAGTGTTGGCCGTGGGAAAAGGTGTCATCACCCATGGAAGCAGCGGGTAGGCACTGTCGGCTAATATGACTCCATCCGGCCTGTTGGTTTGGAATTCAGCGAACAACCGGCTCTCTGAAGATACGTGCATCGTGGACTGACCCAGGCCATCTCACAACACAGTTGGTGATGGCAAGGTCAGCATCTCCCACAAGTTGCACATTGANACCTGAAAAGCTCTAGCACGGAGCTTGAACCGGAGTTGCGTTGGTGTGAATGAGGTATCTGAAGATACGTGCATCGTGGACTGACCCAGGGCATCTCACAACACAGTTGGTGATGGCAAGGTCAGCATCTCCCACAAGTTGCACATTGATGCTGTGCCTCCCTTTCCTGTTGACATATTCCCACTCTCATCAGAGTTTTCTGATCCTGGATCACAACAAATGGGACTTCAAAATCTGATCGGATCTGATTGAGATTAAAAGTTTTGAACTACTGGGCCCTGGAGATAGGAGATGGATTTGACTGAATGAAAGCAGCAGTGGTTGAAAGTAATCAATTTTATAATAATTTTTCGGGATGGTGAATTTTTGTTGAATTTATCCATTTTGTGTTACTTCATACTTCTGCTTTGCCACATTTTGGAAGGAAAGATAGTACCATTTAGTCGATAAACACCTTATCATTGAAACAGAAATGTCAAATATTCTCTGTACATACGAGGAATTTCTTCAGAAAACCATACCTTTTGAGCTGACGAAATATTAATATTAGTTCAGTGTCACAGTATCACCTCAACTCCAAGATACAATTCTTACAAAAATGGGCCCATTATCAACAAAAAGGAAAATTAGCATGTTATTTTTTGTTAAAGCTACAGGGAACCACTGCGGG